CCCTAACCAACGCAACACATTTTTTTCGATTACAGTGAATGTATAGCGAAACTTTTACAAAGAGAGTTAGAAATGTTTTAGAATTATTTAGAGCAAGTTGGGGAGTGTTGGGTCTTTTTATTCAAATACTGAGTTTAACGGTAATAGTAATCGAAATATTAGCCTTTTCCCTGTAAGGAAACATTTGGCATACATTGACCGAGAAACCAGTTTCTCCTTTCGGTCGAAATTTATAAAACCTTTCTCTTCAGGAAAATAGATTTATCAACTGCAACAGCTGCTATCGCTCTTTCCAGTACTGGCGGGGGTCTCCTTCCAAATTTTCTATTTAAATGCAGTGTGGAATGTCAACATTTTGATTATGCCATTATCTTCACTTCGGGTCACATGTAATATCCATTTTAGATGTTACTGCTATTGGAAGTCCACAAGTGGAGCGGTTTCTCTTATTTGGTACAGTTCTTTGTTTGTGAATCTGTAACGGCAGTACACAATGTTCAAAGAAGGATGATATTTGCCAAGATCTTCATGTTTCCATCGCTCAAAGCCATTTTAAAACATTGACCTGAGAAAGCGATTGTATATAGCTAAAATTTTAGATATGTCTGAACACATGTAGCGTCATGCATGCCATCCGTATGAAAGTCTCCATCTGAGGAGGGGATTTAAGAACATGACTCAAATTTTCAGGTTAATATTTTGGTTTTATAGCAAATTTTCGGTATTAGATGCCGAGATGAAAACAGTCTATTCATGTTTTCAACTTAATAAAAACGATGTTACATTATACACAGGTACATATATAAAGAAATATTAACAAAGTTTTGTACGATCATCGAAGTTAACGGACGTCCAGCATGGTCCATACTTGGATGGGTGACCGCTTAGGAATATCAGAAGCAATAATCTTCGATATAGTGTAATGAAAAGGTTTCGTAATTGGTGAGTTCCATTGTAAAATTATGCTACTTTGCCGCCAATCTAGTCTCTTCATCAATGTATTGTTTCTCTTCAGGACAATGATGATCATGTTTCTTCACAATTCCCTGTCCTTTGTAGCCCTCGATCACTTTTAGTTGTTGTCGTTGTTTAAAGTCCTCAATTGATATGGTTTCTGTTATCTAGAATAGTTCTTTGTTTGTGATTGTGCAGCGCCAGTACACAGGGGTCAAAGAAGAATGATCTTCGCCAAGATTCACAGGCTTCACTCTCTCAAAGCCATTTTTAACTGTATGTGAAAGCGGTTGTCTATAGCTGACAATTTAGATCATTCTGAACGGGTTTAATGCCATGCATGCCACCCGTATGAAAGTCCCCATCTGAGGAGGGGATTTAAGAACATGACTCAAGTTTTTAGGTTAATATTTTGGTTTTATAGCAATTTACGGTATTGGATGCCAAGATGAAAACAGTCAATTCATGTTTTCAACTTAATAAAAACGATGTGACATTATACACAGATACATGTATAAAGTAATATTAACGAAACTATAAAAATATAACTAAACAGTGTTATTCAAGTAAATTATTATTATATACATAATAACATTATCAATAATATTTTGCTGTGGTTTAATTTCAGATGTTAAAATAGTAATGGTCATGTTAATATTAGCTGTTTCCTTATAAGGAAAATTTTGCATTCATTGACCGAGCAGGCAGAACTACGGTCGGTTGAAATTTATATAAATCTTTTTCTAAAAACTATTTTTCAGGAAGTCCAGTAATTGTTATAGCTCTTTCTAGTATTGATAACCCTCCATATTTTTTTAAAGTAATGTGGAACGTCAACATCTTGATTATATCATTATTTTCTCTTAAGAGTTATACGTGATATTCATTTTAGTTGTTGCAGTTGTTGAAAGTCTTCAATTGATGTGGTTTCTTTTATCTAGAATAGATCGTTGTTTTGTATTGTGTAGCGCCAATCCACAGGGGCCGAAGAAGAATGGTCTTAGCCAAGAGTCACAATCTTCACTCTCTTAAAACCATTTTTAACTGTATTTGAAAGCGGTTGTATATTGCTGACAATTTAGATATTTCTGAACATATTTGACGCCATAAATGACATCCGCATGAAAGTCTCCATCTGACGATGCTATTTAATAGCATGACACGTTTTTTCAGGATGATATTTTGGTTTTGTAGCAATTTGCAGTATTGGACGAAACTTCCTCTTGAGCAGCCTATTCTACGTTCAATTTATTTTTCTACTGTACTAAATGTATTATTTTCTTTTTTCACTAAATCAACTGTATTCCTATTAACCCATATCCTTCTGGAATCAATTTAAACTAAAACGTCTCTTTAAAATTCCTCAACCATAATATTCCCCCAGTCGTCCGTGGTTAAAATGTATTTTTTTTTATTATTTCTTTTGAAATAAATGAAAAAGACAGACGAAAAATTCTTCCATGGCTTTATATATGTAACTTTATTTTTTTTATTCGTCTCCCAAAAAATAATAAACAGATATTTCATTTTCTGATTAACTGTAGTGTCATTTGTTTTATTTATTTATTTTACTATTTTCTGCTAATTACAATCTTTTTCCGCTAAAAATGTTAATCAAAGCAAGCGATCATACACAATGTTTATTTTATGCGCTTTTATAAAGCAGTTTTAACGAGTTTGTCGGTCGGTCATTTTTAATAACATTCATAATTTAATACTTTATAGTGATTTCGATCCTCATTGGGAACCCCATAATTTTGGCCTTGTTCAATATCTAAATCATAATTTAATAATTTTCTGTCGGATTACTGTAGCTTAATATCTAAGGTAGATAACTCTTTGTTTAATACAAATTGTTTCATTACTGAAAGCCACACCATGAAATTAGGTCGCTTAGCTTCCGTTATTCAGATACCTGCATGCTTTTTTTTTTTATTTATTTATTTTGTTACAGGATACGGGGTTGGACGTAGGAATATTTAACGGCTCCTGGAACATTTCCCCCGCAAACAATTTTGGCCGACTGATGTGAGTCCGGCTAAAACTAATTAACGAAAAATATGGAATTGAAACCAAACGACAATTAAATCAAAAAGGAATTGCATGTGCATACAATGGAAATTAAAAAAAAAATAAGTTTAAACTACTTATAAGGATTTGCTCGTTTGTGTGTCTTTGCCCGCGCATGCGTATGAAACAAACGTGTGTGCGAGAGTTCAGTCAGCAGAGAGGCAAGGATGCCATCTTTATCAACTTTCTACTTCTTCTAAGAGCAAGAGAAAGAATAAGAATATGTTTACCTTTTTTATAAACGTCAATAGCGCAGCCTAGCGGACGTTCTTCGTGAAGCCAAGCGGTGTAACCCATAATTGATTTTTTTTACTGCTCTTTGATACTTTGGGGAAAATTATCATAAACTAATGTCGTTGATATCAATTATGAAGACGATTGTCCTGAAAAAGACGCCCTATTTTCATGTTTGTTCATCAACTGATTCTCCATCCGTGTGATTTATTTATAAAACTACCGGTGACAAATTAACTATTCTCTCATTTATCAGCTCAGCTGTCCATTTTGCCAGCTTAAATCCGGTCACTTTCTTTTTTAGACAGCGGGAAATTACTCGCCATTGAAATCATGGATAAAAGTGATAGTGTATAATAAAAGTGACGAGAAGGTAAGTTATGATATTGTATGACAGATGACCCACTTCTGTCAGCCGTAAGTCCAGCTATTTAATATTATAATTAAACCCAATTTTACTCATAAAAATAATTTTCTTGACACACCTCAAACTTACCTCAGTGTCTAATCCACTTTATCAAAAAAAAAAAAAAAAATCGACAGTCCGGATCACCCTCTGTTGCCTAATCGAATTAATACCTAAACTTGACCACCATTTGAAACCTCGTCTTCCCTGACAGTTGTTACTTTGGGGAAAGCCAGAAGTCAGAAGGAAGTCGATATTGCAAGGACGCTAAAAGATTTTTTGTCAAAAATAAAATGCACAAGATGTCATTGCAAATTCAATGGATACAGAAGCTAACTCATTGGCGTCAGGGAGACAGCTAGGTAAGCCAAGAGGAGACAATCGGTTAAATATGAACAATATAATAGTAACGGTAATAATAATAATAGCCGTTTCCTTATAAGGAAATATTCGACGTTCATTGACTGGGCTACTGTCGGTTGAAATTTAACAAATATATCTCTTAAAACAATTTTTTTCTGGAAAATAGGTTTTTGTCAACGCTCTTTCCAGTACTGATGGGGATTTCCTTCCTAACCTTTTGGTTGAAGTAGTGTGGAATATCTTGCTTATGTCATTATTTTCTCTTCGAGATGCGGGTGATAGCTATTTTAGCTGTTGCTTTTTTTAAAGTCAAGTTATGTGGTTTCTTTTATCTGGCACAGTTCTATATTATAGCGCCAGTCCACAAGGTTCAAAGATGTGTGCTCTTCACCAAAACCCAGAGACTTCACTTAGTTAAAGCCATTTTAAATCCTTGCTCTGAGAAAGTTGTCGTATACAGCTGCCGGCGCCATACATGACAGTTGTATGAAAGTCTTGATCTGATGAGGGTATTTAAGGATATAACTTGTGTTTCCATTATAAAGGTTTGCGTTTGTACCAGCTTACGATGTTGAGCGAAACTAACGCTAGGGTTGACTATTCTATGGTCAATTTGTTATATATATTGTTATTAAATGAAGATTTTTTAAATCAGAGAAAAGAAGAACCACTTTAATCTCAGATGATGAATTATATAAAATACATGCGAAAATGTCAAAGGTTGTATAGCATTACTTGTGGAGAATTAGTTGTTTCGTTTTCCACGGTTTATGAACACTTTTGCAAGAATTTGTATGAATTTTTTTCAGATAAGTATGATTTAGTGATACACGTCTTACTAATTAACCCATATCTGGGGAGAATATATGAATTCCTTCTTTTCCCATGAGTATTTGCGTGTAAGAGAATATAAGGAACTCGACTAACAATTCCGAGCCATTATCCATTACACCTCCCGCAAATCCAAGTTTAGAGCACCTTGTATTCCCAAGCGATCACCCATCAAAATACTGACTAGACTCGACGTTACTTAACTTCGGTGATCGTACAGGAAGTGATGTTTCAACGTTGTGTGTCCGTAAGCCGTGGAGAGTTATGTTCGTCTGCTTCCTGAAAAGAAATATCACATAATAAAAGCTAGAATATCACTTTTACAGTAATGATCTTGGGAAAGGTAAAAAAAAAAACTATATTTGATTTTTATCATCAAGGGTGATTTCAATATTATGTTGGTAGTTGAAGATAACGTGTTAGCAGAAGTTGTAGAAAGAAAACCGTAGTTATTCATGGGCATTATTTAAATTAGATATAGTTCTTTCTAGTTGCTTGAAGTACTCCTTGAGAATTCTTCAAAATGTGTATACATGCTTTGAGACAACCTGTAGATAAGAATAGACAGATATCGATACATGAGATATATGAATAGACTGATAGAGATAAAACTGGAATGATTGAGATAGGTAGAAATAGTTCGATATCAATAATCAGTCATGAAAAGACTGTAAGAAATCTATTGACACAGAGTGAAACAATTATCGATGTCATACTAAAAAGGACATGGGCAAAAAGAAAACCTTTTTTATTATTATTATTGATGTGTTTTTACGCCTTATCAACCCTTTGCAGGTTATTTAACGTCAGGAAATATTTTTAGGTTGTAAGATTTTTTTTTTTTGAAGTTGACATTGATTTAGTGATACAAGTTCTACTGCTTAACTCATAGCTGGAGGCCGAGGATGAAGCGGATTCTCACGTTTCCTAAGATCATTTGCGCGTAAGTGAATACAATGAACCCAACTGATCCATGCGATGACAATATCTTAAGAGCGTGCATTTATAATAAATACTCTTTTCATATGCATTATTTAAATACATATAGTGGGTTCTAGCTGCTTGCTTAGGTGATACAAGTCCTATTATTTAACCCATAGCTGGGGGAGAAGAAGTGGATTAATACATTTCGCCTACGGTATTTGCGCGTGAGGGAATATATCGAACCTATCAGAACTGGAACTTGGTTCCCCGATTTGATGATACACGCCTTACTAATTAACCCATATCTTGGGGAGAATATATGAATTCATACCCTTCCCATGAGTATTTTCGCGTAACGGAGTATAGGAAACTTAAATGGAATAACAAATCGGCTCTCTGATTAACTATTCCGAGCCATTATCCCTTACACCATCTGCACATCCAAGCTTACTTCAGCTGGTATTCCCAAGCGGTCACCCACCTAAGTACTGACGTTGCATAATTCAGTGGTCGTACGGGAACCGATGTTTCAATGTGATATGGCCATAAGGCGTAGTTACATTTTATTTTATTTCCCATCCATTAACATATATAAGCAGGCACACAGTTATTATTTTTACCTTTTTCTTATGCCCGATTTTATTATTTTATTGTTCAGCCTAGTGTAGGGATTGTCAAGACTGTGGGAGTATTACGTATTATCAGTGTCTCATTTGAAAGTCACATAAATTGTGTGTGCAAGAGTGTGTACACTTGCGAGTGTCTATGCATTAAATGGTACAAACATCTGTATGTTACTCATATACAATGAAAACATAGGCACATACGAAGTCACACAGAGGCAGAGTGTGACGAACAAAGAATTAGCCGTTCTTTTATAATATTGAATTTATTGACAAGTTGGTAGAGCCTGCTAATTTTTATGCTTTTTTTGCTCCAACAGAATTAATACTGTAACAATGAAGCAAATACATAATACAGACGGTATTTTGAGGACTTTTTAAATAGCACAGATCTAAAAAAAAAAAACACAATCTTAAAAGTTTAAGATCCTTTTCACAGAATGATGAAATCTGAAAAGATATCTGACAAATATTGAAAACTTTGTATTTATATTTGAAATAGAATTATTCTTGAAATATAGATAAAATTGCAGTAAAAAAATATGTGACTTTTTTTTTATTCGATGACGGATTTTGTAGCAGGACTTCTATTTTCATCACCAACCAAAGAATGAAATTGATTTTTTAGTTCAAACGCAAAATCGAATACAAGCGTTTAATAGAGGGTACTGCTACATTCTTTAAAATCCAAAGAACGATTTATAATGTGATCAGTCTTGACCAGGAATCTCGACTTCAGTCACTTTCTCAACGACTTGGCGTGGATTTCCTTTGTCTTTTCTACAAATATTTTCATGGAAGTTGCTCTGTTAAACTGTTGTTCCTCTTGTGTTTCTTTCTATTCAATTTATACACTTTCACTCCTGAATTTTTCTTCTTTTTTTTCCTTTATTTTTTATCATTTTTTTTTCTATAATAATTACTGACAACACCAATATACTACACAACGAAAATAGCAAACATTTGCTGTGTGTATGAAATTACAGCAAACTTCTTTATGTAAGCAGAAGGAGAATTTTCTTCATTCACTTCAATTATCTGAAGGACCGTGTGTATCAATTTCTTTCATATTTTACACTCACGTAGGTATATTTTCAAATTTTTGGACTGCCATATAATTTAATCGTGAATTTACATATTTTAGACATAATCCATATCTTCCTCCATATTATTTATTTATTCATAACAATTTTGATACAATAATTTTGGCAATATTGGTCACTGAAAGTGTTGAGCGAAAGGTTAAAAAAAAACAATGAACACTAAGCAGTGTTTGTTGAAATCAATATATATATATATATATATATATATATATATATATATATATGAGGAACAGTGGAGTAGTGGATAGCGGCTTGGACTGAGGAATATAGCCTTTTTTTTCTTTGTTTTTTTTTTGGGGAGGGTTTGCAAAAATAACTAAATTTAGGAAAATTACCACACTACATATTTAATGATCTGCGTGGAGTTCTTACGGGGCTGAACATCTTCATATTTTTATTGAAAAATAAACTTTATTTTTCGCTTTAAATAGTAACATAAATACTCTGTTAATGTTGTTTTAAAACAAATCAAACTTAGATGAAAGGTCATTAACCTTTTCTCAAATTAATATTAACAGAAATTCCACGAGCAAGAAGTGCGAGAAAATAAACTGTTATCAAAGTATCTACGGTTACATGAAGCCAGTCCTCGTGAGTAAAGAAACTGTCAGCAAAGTTCTTGAGGTGAAATCTAACCAGTTCAACTGTAAAATGATAAGACCTTGCCGCCAATCTAGTACTGCGCTTAAATTCAGAAAGTCTACATAATATAGTAGAAAGTTAATCAGAACAATTGCCGTGAAAGTATTTATAGAAAAGGCACAGGGAAGCTACATTACTGCGTTTGGAAAATGACTAAAGCCGAGATGCCAGGTCAAAACCAATAACATTTCAGATGCTTCTTTAGATTTTATCAAGATTTTTTAAATATATAGCAGGAGTGTGGCAGCAATATTCAAGGCGTGAACGAACGGTAGACTTATATATATGTAAGATAGATTCTGACCAGGGAACCAAATTTTCTAGCAGCAGTTCTAACAATTAATTCAATATAACCTTTCCCCTTCATGTCAGCAAAGAACGTTCACCCGAGAAAGTACAACGAGTCACTCTCCTGCAAGTTAGGATCAGCCATGATGATGGAAGGCAGAAAGGTTGTTCTCAGATGATTAATAGAGTATAGTCTTGTTTCGGAAGCGTTAAAATTAACAATTTGACTCCCATTATATTTTATTATTACTATTTTATGTCAATCTATCTCTCAGTCTCTCTACCCCAACTCTGAATTTTTACCTTTTCTTTTGCATCCTTTTTCTTTATCATCTCATTCCAACTGTAAAAAGATGAGACCACGCCGCCAATCTAGTACTGCGCTTAAATTCGTAAACTAGTTACCAAAGAGTAAAACTCATCAGAACAATTACCATGAAAACGTTAGTCTGAGAAGATGCCATGAGTTACTCTCTTTGGTGTTAGCATGAGCCAAGTTGATGGAAAGCAAAAAAGGGTTCTCTCAGACGATTAAAACAAAGCAGTTTCGCTTTGGAGACGATAAAATTAGCAAGCCATTCCTTGCCCCAATTAACAACAGATTGTGGGTCACTTGTGAAATCTGCTGCTAATTTGACCTAGTCAAATCGATCAGACTTACTTTAATAGTAAATCAAAATGGCATAGCAAATCCGCTATTACAGGAGTAAATAGTTGTGTCATCTGCATAGATACAGAGTTGAAAGGTGAAGTAATCAAGAAGGTCATTGATAGAAATTAAGAACAAATTGTTCTTTCTAATACATTTCGGCTCCCGTTATATTTTGCTATCCCTATTTTATATCAATCTATCTCTCAATCTCTCGTCTCCTCTTTTACTTTTTTTTTTTTTATATCATTTTTCGTATGTAATTTACTTTGATTATATAGACAATGCACGGACGCACCAACATTTTTCCCGCGTCCTGGGTATGACGATAAACTACGTCCAACAGCAAGGCGTCTGATAATAAGTTTTTGAAAAAATAATGTTGCCAGCTATACGTTTTTGAAAAAATATTACCAGCTATACGTTTTTGAAAATAAATAATAATATTACTAGGTATACGTTTTTGAAAAATATTAATATTACCAGCTATACGTTTTGGGAAAAATAATATTACCAGCTATACATTTTTCAGAAAAATAATAAAAGAAATAGATTTTTGACAAAGAAAAATATTACCAGGAAAAACATGTTGTCGGCATTAAATGAGCCATTGAGGTTGATATGCTGTAAAACAAAACAAACCAAACCAACATTTTTCCCAGGCTTATACAAGAAACATGTAACGTTTAAAGCAAGTCACCAACACATTACAGAATATTATGAAAGCTCTGTCTATAACAGACAAAGAAGTAACGCATATAAAGAGTCTGCTAACAGTACACGTGAACTTCAGCTGCACCTGCCCTTAAGCAGTCATTCTTTTTTAGCAGGTTTGTACGACGGGAATATTCTTCTGCAGTCTTCATGCTAATTACTTCCCATGTTATTATTTCCTTACTAATGGTATTTCATTTAAAATACATATTACTTTTCTTCTGCTAATGTTGGGAGTCTGTTGAGGGAATTTAGTCAGATGCTACCGACGAACGCCACCGGCATCGGATGGTACCGAC